CCCCCCCCCATTCGGGGCCACAGGGGTTTGCTCCCTGGTGGGCTCAGGTGGCCGTAGCCATACCTGGCCCCACTCTCCCCCTCAGGGTCTCAAACCCCTGCAGGGCTCAGGTAGCCACAGCCATACCTGGCCCCAACCTACCCTCTCAGGGTCTCGAACCCAACAGGGCTCAGGCAGCCACAGCCGTGCCTGGCCCCAACTACCTCCAATGGAACACAAACCCACCTGAAGGTGAAGGCTAGAGTTAAGGCACCCCTGCCCGCCTTTCAGTGGGGTGATAACTGGCCTGGCATTTCCTGGGGGCTCCCATGCCACTGAGAGCCCCACCAGGCCACCTACTCCCAGCAGGGTGCAGTTTTAGGTCAGGACCAGGACCAGGACCAGGACCAGGACCATGACCCTCCTGACCATCCCCTGCAGCTCCTCCCTTACCTCCAGATAATACCAACAGCCCTGTAGCCAGGCTATGTTGTTGCCTAGCCTCCAGCAGCAAAACAGCCCTGTTTATATGGGCAACCCTAGGTCCAAAATGGCTGCCCTCATCAGGCACCTGGGGGCTGCTAGCTTCAGGCCCTTAAAGTGGCAGGGACCCACACTGCCCTGCCACAATGCCTACCAGCATACGGTTTATCTTTTAACCCTTCAAATGCCAATTATTATAATGAAAATTAAATCTACCAATTTCTCCTGTATACCCCCCACCCAAGATGTCATGCGTACCTCTAGGGGTATGTGTACCACCGTTTGGGAACCCCTGCTCTATAGTACATGAACATCAATATTTTTTTGAATTTCCTCAGAGGAAATGACAGCCTCAAATAATTACATTAATTAGGTCTATCTTCTCACAGTACTTAGGCATTACTGTTCTTAACATTGTTGAACTGCATGTGCAGAAAAGATTTAACAAGTTTCTCTAAATATAAGAAAATAGAGATGGTCACAAATTTTCCATTGGAAAATGCTGATTTTTGATGGTGAAAGTCTTCAAAGAAATGTGACGATTCAATTTATTTTTAAAACGTAAAGCATTAATTTCAACTTTTCAGAATGAAACATTTCTGTTTTCTATTTTAAATGTACTTCTTGTTCCGATTTTTTAAAATTTTATAAACATATCCTTTTGGAAGTCAAAATTAAAGCAAAAATATTCTATTGGAATTGCAGGGGTGTACGTTGTAGCCGTGTTTGTCTAAGGACATAGGCAGACAAGGTTCATTGCGTAAATCTGATACCTTTTATTAGACCAACTCAAATAGTTGGAAAAACTCTTCTTAGCGAGCGTTCAGGTTAAAATACCCTTCTCAGAGTTTTTTTTAATCAAAATTAAGCATTTTTCCCATGGGGCACCATAATAACAGGACTAGACCACCCACTCTCGTTACTTAGGGGAAAAGGATATTGGTTTCTTCCCAATTTCCCAAAAGTAAATAGACTTCTGCCCAAATCAGGCAAAGGAAACCAGACTTGTTTTCAGAAACGTTATTGAAGTTGATTAATAGCTCTGCTTTTGAATTCCCTTTTTTTCTTTTGCTATGGATATAAATACAATCTTATTCCTTTCTTCCCTCCACCCCTGGGATTGATAATAGCTGCCTCTAGGGGCAGGGCTTGGAGAGGAGGAAATGGAAACAAAGTGCTGTACAAAAGGGGACCTAGTACTTGCTCCTGGTTTGTGGGAAGCATTTCTTCCTATTCAAAAGAAAGGTGAGTGGTAAATCTGGGAATCAATTATCCTCAGTTTAAACTGACTCATTTTGCTGGCTTCAGTGTCCTACTGATGATCATACTACATTTTAAAAGCTGCTCTTGGTTCTGGATTCAGTAGTTTGAAACAAGTTTAGACAGTACATCTGCCCTCAAAAAATCATACTTCTTCTGCAAATATTTTACGTGTTCCTGCTGCAGCCAACCTCTGGAATAACTAACTGTTCCTCGGAGAAAATTGAAAAGAAACAGTTCCCCCCAAGTCTGTTTTATTCCAAATGCAGTTTGTTTCTCTGTGCGTTTGGAAATACGTCCGATAGTTGGTTTCACTATGGTCAATTTACCATGTGGTGTCTGTGGGTCCGTCCCTAGCAATAAAGAGAAAAATCACAAATATCAGTAGAGAGATTTAGCAGCAAGGATAGTACTGAATATTTTCTTCTACATTATTTTTAATTGCCTACCCTTTGGACAGATGATGTCCCTAGAGAGACCGTACCTTTCTGTTTCTCCCTGTTATTTATTTCAGTATTTATGTTAAAGGTGACATGGATAAAAAGTGCCAGGTATGTTGTTGGGTGCTACTGTGTAAGTTTCAGATTATCATAGGGCTGGCTTCCTTTGAGATTGCTGTGCTCAATTAATACAGCTCAGAGTTAATCATTTGGAGTAATTTCATTTATTTGTCATAAAATAGCGCTGTGGTGCCACCCTGTGGTGATTTTATTTCCACCCGTCTTATGTTTTAATTGTTGTATGGTTTCTATCATATTTGGCCCTTATCAAGCAAACTTAAGCATCTACACAACTTCACTCCCCCATGCAGCTCTGTGGAAGCAGTTCTGCTGTTCATCTGTGGCACGTTTAGGCATTTCTTGTGTGTTTTGGGCATTGTGCCTGGTGATTGTAAGAGAGAACTTTTCTGCAAAGTGTTTATAAATAGATTTTATGAATAGGCCAGTGGTTTTCAACCTTTTTTTCATTTGAGGACCCCTTTGGAAATTTTGAATGGAGGCGTGGACCCCTTTGAATTGTGTGGGTATTCATGTACTTTTGATTGATCATAGTCATCTTTTACAGACATTTTAGACATAGTCTGCAGACCCCCGGGGATCCACAGACCACAGGTTGAAAACCACTGGGTTAGGCCAATGGTGTTCAGCCTCTGGCCTGCAGAGCCATGTCATCCAGCCCATTGTTCTCCCCACGAGTCCAGAAATATGGCAGCATTAATTGGTGCTGCTGTGGGAGCCACAGCAATTAATACTGCCGCTGCTTACCTGCACACGGGTTTGCACCTGCCACATTGAGCCTATATGTGGTATCTGGCCCATGGACCAGCCCCATAATACTCATCATCCTACAAGGAGTAGGAGTAAAGCCAAGGATATGGTTAAAAAGAGTAGATTTGGGTCTTTAGATTGTAAACTCCTTCAGGTAACAATCCTGTGTCTTTCCTATTCGTGACAATACTGGGCACACAACTGGTGTTCAACAAGTAATGCAGGAGATAGACCATTTCTTTTCTTCTCTTGCCCACTCCATAACAGCAGTGCCAGGAAGGAAACAAGAATCTTTTCTGATCTCACACTTCCAAGAGGACTGATTCCTGACAACCTGGTCCAGGGAAAGCATTTTTTCCGATGCAGGATAAAGGTGAGCAGTAAACTGTATGTGGGAACCAGATGTCTTCTATCTTAAACTGATATGTCTCTGTCTGGAGAAATGCTGCCAGAGCAGAGGAATGAAAGGACAGCAGTTAACACTGTTTCAAACCAATCTGCTCCTGTTCTGCTGTGTATTATCTGTAAATTGATATCTGAAGGGCTGAGGCACACATCAGAGGTTCAATAAAATGTTGTATGTGATACAAAAAGGACTCTTGTTTCCCCTGCCGAGGTTTGTAAAATCCTGACTTTCCACTTGGGTCTTGGTCACATATTTTAAAGGCCAGCATGGCTTAGCTGGTGGAGCACTAGGCTCCACTCTTGCGAAGAGTCCTGTGCTAGCAGAAACCCACACTCACATGAAGCCCTTTGAAATTAGTGGGACCCCGATGGGCCTCTCTGCAAGTACTGATGTAGAACTCATTGTAGCGTTTGGACCTATAACTTAATGCTGTGTGAACCTTACTTTGTGGAGCATCAGGTCATTATTTTAAATCAAGTTTTCTGTTCTGCTTTAAATATACTCTTTTTTTCTTAATTCTTCTAGCCCCTCCTGCAGTCCTACCTACCACATTTCCCCTTTTTATTGTCAAGCCACTTTGCCTGTACTCAGGGCAGGACTTGAGTGAAATCTTAGGGGCACTCTGCATTTCAAAGCTGACTGGATTTATGCAGCCAAGCCAGTCAACTGACATCTGAAAGCTGGGCATGGATTGCCCAGCAACAAGGAGCTATGTCTGCTTCAATGCTTTCTTTTCTGTGTTGCTTCAGAGAAAATGTTAGCAGCACATTTTGACAGCCCAGGAGGCCCAGAGAATCTCTATGTTAAAGAGGTGATGAAACCACATCCCAGAGAAGGTGAAGTCCTCATGAAGGTTTCTGCCAGCGCTCTAAACAGGGCTGATTTACTGCAGGTATGTGTCTGTTAAGAAGATTCAGAGACCTGTGGGATATACTGCATCATATACAATCAAGTTCTTAGAAATTAGAAATCTGGAGTCTTGACAGAATGAAAAGGTAAGAGAGTTTGAATCCAGCTAGCACATGGATAATAGACCTCCAAGTAACAGTTTAGAGTGCTACAATGGTAGGTGTTTTGTGATTCAGTAGGTGTCATTTCTTTATCTGAGCTAACGTTGAACATACAGTACATTATGGTATTATTCTGTGGAGCTAGTGTTCTTTCTGAAGAGAGATAAAACTGAAGCTTTAGCCACTTTGGTGTGGTCTTTGCAAAAGTCCAGTGTGGGTAGCTGCATTCTTTCTACCTCCTAAAATATATAGGATGTCTTTTTTTCCTGCCTGATACTTAAGGGGACATTCAGAGCTAAATGCTTGTACAGCTGTAGCTTGAGCTAAAGAGCCAAGCTCTGTGGCTGGTGGCCATAACAAGTCAGTCCTCCACAGATTAGCATGGATTAATACATAGTCACCAGTGGTTTTATATATAAAGGTTTTGAGGAAAGAAGATGCTCAGCCTAGAAGAAGAAGATATAATAATTGCTTAGAAAAATTGACAAGGCTTAGAGATCTTAAAAGAACCTGGACTGAAATCTGCTTTCAAAACCTACAAAGTATAAATTAAGATTAAATAAAGACTCGTGTAGATCAGATGGCACATGGATAAATTTGAATTGTATTTTTTTCTTTTTGTGTAGAGGAGAGGGAAATATCCACCACCAAAAGGAGCAAGTGATATTTTAGGTCTAGAAGCAGCTGGGATTGTTGCTGGGTTTGGACCTGGTTGCAAGAAGCAATGGAAGATTGGTGATCCAGTAATGGCTCTGTTATCTGGAGGTGGCCAGGCAGAGTATGTCACTGTGCCAGAAGGTCATCTGATTCCAGTCCCTAATGATATGACTCTTGTTCAGGCTGCAGCCATTCCTGAAGCCTGGCTAACAGCCTTTCAGTTGCTGCATTTTGTAGGTGAGAGATGTATCTGTAAATCCATCCCATTCATGCAATTCGCCCTCACATCTTTTATTGGTCTTCTTGTCGTTCACTGCTGAGACCTGAATGTCAGTTGCCTTTGGAGAGCTTTTCTTATGTCTCACTTGATCTATGCAAGTCTTTGACCTTTTTTGTCAGAATGAGTGAGATATGCAAGACCTAAATTCTGAAAGCTTGGCTTTCTTTCCACAATAATAACGGACTTGGCTTATTTCATATTTACAAGAGAGCAAGGTCTGAGTCCAGGCACAGCAAGGACTCTGCTTCTCATGTACTGTCTACTGGACCCAGGCAACAAGGAAGAGGAAGGTACCCTGAATTGAATGAATAGGGGATAAGAAAAAAACCGTGGGGGAGAGGCAAGTTTCCTGTTACTGAAGTCAGTGAAGTGGCAATCACTTAAACCAGCTGTGAAGAAGTTTCCTTTATTAAAGGTGTTGAAGAAGCAGCTCCCACAGACTCGGGATAACTATTTCAGCTTGTTTATATTTAAAATACATTTAAACAGATCGTCATGCCAAGTGGGTGGCTCAAAATCCCTTTTTCTTGCTTCAGGTAAAGTGCAGAGTGGAGAGACAGTGCTAATCCATGCAGGAGCCAGTGGAGTTGGCACAGCAGCCGTTCAGTTGGCAAGACTGGAAGGAGCCATTCCCATTGTGACTGCTGGGACACAAGAGAAACTCCAAATGGCAGCAAAACTTGGAGCAGCTGCTGGATTCAACTATAAGGAGGAAGACTTTAGTGAAAAAGTCCTGGAATTCACGCATGGTGAGAATGTCTGTATAGTTTGAGAGTTAACATGCACTACTGAGAGTTATGAAGAGTCCTTATAAATGATGAGCATTCCTTTTGTATCCAGTGTGCTTCAACAGAGAATCTGTGGGGTCATCTTATTAGGTGTATATTTAGAAAAAATGCTTAAAATGCTTAGAAAGGCTGATTTTTTTCCCACAGGCTAGGTGGGGTGGCTCTCCAAACCAGTTGTTGCCATCTCATCATGTGTTTTGGGGGATACAGCATTTTAGATAAGGCCTAAAATGAGGTCCTGAACATTAGTGATCACTGAAAATTCCATGACTACTTTTCCCCAAGAATAACTGTGTCAAGGTCAAATTCTTATTTGAGTAATTACATTCTACCTAGTTTCAATTGGATATGATTGTCTTTACCTATACTAAGCTGCTATTCAGTACTGTGCTCTTCTAGACAACTACTGCATTTCACCTTGGAAGTGGCTGATTTCAAAGGAACTTCAAGGTGCTTAAGACCTTGCAAAATAAACCCAAAGTGATCACAGTACTTGTTTAACTGAGCCCTATTTTCAGGAGGGATTTTATATTCCTTGTGGACACAAATATTGTGTCTGCCTTATTTTTACATCCACAAGTAACGGTGAGCACAAATTCTAGCATAGTATTTAACTCTGGACATGAGAAGGTATCCAGTTTTCCTATGCTAGAAAACTGAGCTATTTGTGGGTACTCTGGGCATAGTTGTGTGTGCTTGCGTGTGTACACATTTATATAATTTGAGCCTGATCCTGTGGCTCTGACTCATAAGCAGTTTTGTTGTTGTCAGTGGAATTATTTCTCTGCATAAGAGTTACATAATTGGGATTGTCTTGTATAAAGGGAGATCTACTCATTGGATTAGCTTTGTTAGTAATTATCCCACATTTTGATGCATTGCTGAGATGTCTTATTTTCCACTTGAGGTTCTGGAGTAGGTGTTATTTTGGACTGCATTGGTGGCTCCTACTGGGAAAAGAACATCAGTTGTCTGAGTACTGATGGCCGGTGGGTTGTTTATGGACTGCTGACTGGAGGTGAAATTCATGGAGATCTGCTTACAAGGTTGCTTTTTAAAAGAGGGAGCCTGCTTACTACTCTGCTAAGATCGCGAGAAAAGGAGGCAAGTGATAACTAGCAGTCCGTTTCTGCAGAGTAAAACAAAAAATCTGTCATTCCAATAACTTTGTTTCCTTTTGATATCACTGATAAAGAATGCTTCGTCATGCATTATCACCCCAAATAAAACTCAAACTCTTACCACCTACCCCAGAAAGCAACTTAGAATCAAGTTATATTGTCCTTGTACTGCTTAGGACGTCCTGTGTCCTTGTACATCCCTATTGAAATTCAATTGAAATCGCTAAAAATAGAAAAAAATCCATTAGCTCAGGAGTCAGCAACCTCTGTCTCACAAAGCTGGGATGGTGACAGCAATTTGGTAGCCGAGGTAAGCGGCAGCATTTGGTGGCAGGGAACATGATGGCAGAGTTTGGGGTGCAGGTGGCATCCCACCTCTGAATTGGCTGTGCTAATTTGGCCTGCTACTGCTAAAAAGTTGCCAATCCTCAATTAGATCATTTAAGGCCAGATTTTTCACAGTAGCTCAGCTTCCACTTAGATACCCAGCATTTGCGAAAATGTATTTTGTGTGTAAAACATTCAGTTATTACAGTGCTTGTTAGAAGTATAACACTTTAAAATAGCTTATACCAGGATCTTAGACAGGGGAAGTTTTTATATAATATACTTAAGCAGTTTGGTCAGTTTTGTTTTAAACATCTTTGTAATGGGATTTCCAACCAGTTCTCTTGGGACAGAACTTCTTTCTGTCCCTACAGTTTAAATCTCTTGGAGCACCTGAATTAACTTCTTTCATCACTGGTGCCTACCCCTTTTAAATATTGTATACTATTATTACCTGCTTCCTAGCATGATGTTATTAATGTTAGAGTTTGAGAATTCTGCTAATTTTGCAAATAACCGGTCACAGTTACAGTTGTTAATTATAAAACATGCTTAAAATGCTTGTGATTTTTCCCTACATTACAAAGAACAGCTTGTGAAAGCCTTTACAGAGAGAGTGCTGCCACATTTCTCCAGGAATACCTCTCCTTCTCTCCAGCCAGTTATTGACAGCATTTATCCTCTGCATGAGATTGGAGAGGCACACAAGTTGATGGAAGAGAACAAAAATGTTGGCAAGGTCATCATTGAAATGCCTTCTTCATCCTGAAACAGGGACTTGTGCTGCAGGCATTGTAGAGACTGAATTACTATTGACATGTATGGAAGTCCAGCAAATGGAGTTATTGCCATTTCAGATCCCAAGTTTATAATGACTAAAAGTGTGGAATGATTATGGGAAGGGGAGTAACATTGTCTTTGTATTAAAAAAAATCCCCTTGTAAGGACACAGTCTAATAAAAAGAAAAAGACGGTATAGTACTGACATGATGACCTTGTGATGTAAACTTCATGTATTGCATTCTGCTCCAGCAATCCCTCCTTTCTCCTTTGAGCAACACAAAATTGTCATGAGCAGTTGTCCCTTCTGTGTTTTCTGACTGAGTTGCTGGGTTTTTTCCCCTAGTTTTCAGAAGTATGGTATGTCCCTGCTGTGCACTACATCTGAATCTGACAAAAATATTGCTGGTTTTTTCATGTTTGGTGTTAACAAGAGACATACCCTGAGCAGGTGTCTTTGAGGATTCTGAAGTTAGCATTTTTAAATATAATAATGCTTCACTAGTGCTCTACCAACAGGCAAAACCAAGAAAGGTGAAAGAACTTCTTCAAGTGCATATTGTGAATAAGCACAGAAATAGAGTAGGAATTTAGACATTTTTGCTCAGGCTAATAAATCCGGACTGCTTTATACTCAGCCAGGTGAGTTGCTCCTTCAGAGTCTCTCAGGGAAGGGGCTGACAGCAGTAAGTAACAACTTCTTGACCACACAATGCCACCACAATTAAAATCCAGTCTAGGAACATGAAATAGCCAGTCCTCAGTATTAGACAACTACATCTATGCCTTAATATGGCTACTGGAGAGATGAAATGGTGCTGAATGAAACCTCTCTGCTGCTTCCTTAGAGCTTCAATGCAGAGGAGTTTCCAGTTAGAGAAGTAATTCTCAACCAGGGTGCCACAGCACCTGGGGGGTGCCAGGAGATCATTTTGAGGATGCTGCAGGGTGCCATGCAATGTTAGCATTGTCAGGCAAGCAAACATGATTCACAAGATAAACCCAGAGACTTCAAATACAAATCCATAGTGTCAAAAACATTCAGACATGTTGCTATCCCTCTGAGCTGTTTGCAACAACAGGGTTGCTCTATTATTTTTCTGTTGTCAAAAAATGAGTGAAAACTAAGAGCTGGCATTTCTTGAGGGCTGCTTTGAGTCTAAAAGGACCGAGAAACACAGCCTGAGGATGAGGAGTGTGGAAATGGCCGTGTGCAATGAGAAATACAGCAGTTTTGTCCCTACCACCAGCAACTTGAGAGAGGCAAGTCATAAAGTAGGGTTGGAGGGGACCTCCAGAGGTCTAGTCCAAGGATCATCCCTGTCCAAACCATAAACTAAACCAGGGGTCGGCAACATTTTTGACTGGAGTAACACCCACTTGGCTCAGTGTACCAGACGCAGGGGAGCTGTGCGGGACCCGATCTTCATTGCTGGTAGCTGCTGCACGCGTGCCTCCAGGTGGATGGTGGGAGAGAGACCAGGGTTGGGCTGGCCCGGCCCCGTCTCACCATGCACCATGAGGCACGTGCACCCACCCCTGCCATGGAGCTGGCGCCAGGGCTCCGCAGCCTGGCACAGCTGTTTGCAGCCTGCCCACTGCCTGCTGCAGGTGCCCAGAGCCTGGACCAGCTGTGGCGTGCTGAGGAAAATGGCCTCGCATGCCATGCTCTGGCATGCGTGCCAGGGGTTGCCGATCCCTGATCTAAACTCTACATGAGACTAGCATCAACCCTGACACAACACAGACCTAGCACCCATTGGCTATGTGCAGGGGGTGCACGCGGGTGCAGGTGCGCCCCCCGAGATTGGCGGTGCACCCCCCTGCGATCGGATGCTGCCGACACTGCCGCCGACACCACCGTGGCCGCCCGCGGGAGCTTCCTGCTCACCGCTACCTGTGGGAGGTCGCCGTGCCCCCCCAGCCTCTGGGGGCATGTGTCGTTTGTGCTAGCACCCTGACCTGCCACCGGTAAAGCAAGGGAACCATGGCAGCCACTGCCCTGCTTCTATAAAACATTATCAACATGGGCCTAAGAAGTCCCCAGCTGAGGGCTGCACCCCATCTTGGAGGAAGGCAAAACCCCCATGGTCCGCACCAGCTGGGCTGTGGGGTAAATTCCTCCCTGACCACAAACATGGAGATCGGCCTGGCCCTGAGCAGAGCAGCGAGACTCTCTAGTCAGGAACCTCTGGCTTTCGTCCCAGCAGGAGCATTGGCACGGCCCACGCAAAGTCACCAGCCTTGACCATAGCCAACACCCGCTGCCTCTGGGAAGACGCAGAAACGCCCCAACGCATGTAGCAGACATGGGAGCAACGCCCAGAAGCATGGGAAATACCCATGGTGGGACATAGGCACAGGCATGGGCATGACCAGCGGCCGCCCAACCTCTTCTTGAACACCTCCGGGGATGGAGGGGACCCCGCAACTTCCCAACGCATCTCCTCCACTGGCGCCCTGCAGCCCCCACCCATGGCACGGCGGGTCCCCTTTCCAAAGGGGCTTTTGCTGCTTTTTGGACTACGGAAAAACTAAATCTGGAGTAATTCGTCCGCTGCCAAGCACCCCGAAAGGCTGCAACCAACAGGGCGGAAGGGGCCGGAGCCCATAGAAACCTCCGGGTACCGCGGGCAGGGGGTCGTGCATTGGCGACATCCTGGTTTTCTGCCTCCCTGTCCTATCGTTACAAAACCCAATGCTTTCATGTCCTCTATTTTTTTCTTCAAGAGACGACATATAGGCGTCCAGTTTTGAATCGATAGAGGACAGAGGATAACCGGACTGTCCTGTACGATAGCCACCCTAGTGCACCTAGCAGCGTCGCACCCTACAAAGCGCCCCGGGGCGGTTGAGAACCAGGGAGATTGTGAGGCGGTGAGGGCAGGGGGTGAACCCGATGTTGGCTTTATTTCCTCTCGTCTCTTTCGTGTGAGGACAGGAGGTGCTTAGGGTTATTTCTGAGGGGGGAAACGTCCCCTTTATACGGGGTAAGGTGAAGCTACCCCCTGCGCCCAGCGCACAGAAGCTCCAACGGCCACGAGCAACGGCTGGCTCAGAACGCGCCCGGGGCAAGGGACCCGGCGGGGGGGGGG